AAATCAACCATCATTTCAGCTCATTTCTAGCTGCTGCTGCTTCCAGCGGCTCGCTGATGATGGATGCACTGATTTCATGGCGGGGACCCTTGGTTACTGATGGTGGAGCTCTGCCAGGAGCAGCAGCTTCCTGCGCTCTGATTGGTGAACGCTGCTGTCTGCTCTGCTAGCATTGGCTACTTGTACATATACACTGCTCTCATTACATTCAAAACTCCACCCTTCTGTAGAAGGAAGGGGGTGGCAGAGGGTGTAGAGTGGGCCGTGTTGTCCCTCATTGTTGTCTTACAGGCTGCTTTCTCTTTAGCTACTTTGTTTCTAAGCTGCAGAGGTATTGTTTCTGTTTCCTTGGATGTAGCTCAGGAGGTCGAGCAGGTCATCTACTAATCACAAGCTCGGTGGCTGCCTGGCCTGCATGCCAGATATCGTTAGCAGCATACAAGCAGAACAGAACCTTTTACTGTCACTGTACACACAGTGAGATGCAGAGCAGCTCCTACTCAGTGCAGACACATGAACAGTATTTTAAGTGTACAGATCAGGGGAAATAAATAAACAGTGTTATATGTTTACAGTGTGGTTTATTGCACAGTGGTGCTCGTGTGAATGTGTGAGTGTTGTATAAAGTGCTATATAAGTATCCAGAGAATACAGCAGGTCCCAGAACTGACTGAATATATGAAGGCTGTTGAATACTGCTGTGTGTGGACAGGGCAGGTCTGCCTTATGCTGTTGTTGTGATCGGGCGCTGACATGACAGCGGTCCTTACACGCACCTCTAGCCTGCACGTACCGCTGTCTGTTAGACAGCGCTCAGGGCACAGTGCCATCTGCGCCTGGTACCCAAACACTTTGTTAAAGCCGCCTGATAACGCTGATGAATGAGCGCGTCTCTAACTGATGCCTGTGAGGACGAGTGCACGCTGACACCGCTTTCAAACAGGACCTGTTCTTCTCGGATGCTCTGAGCTGAGCGGGTGAGTGATCCAGCATCACACGAGCTGCTCACGCACACATCCAGCGCCATTTGCAGACAGGTACACCTACCGCCCCTTTTATTGTCCCACGCTCAGCGCCGCTGTAGTGTTGACTGAGTCACGGCAGCAAAATGCAGGAAAACGGGTCAGAAAAACCGCGTTAGTGGAGTTTGGATGGTTTGTGCACGGTAGAAGGTCGTGTTGATGATACAGCGATGATGTAACAGCATGAGCGGATGCACTTCTTTATCCGTGACCACTGCAATCCGCACATTCGTGTTACACAACCACCGAGAGATGCTTCCGTTTCGTGCTGTCATACATTATGAGCATGAACAGCACCGCGCTGTGGTACCCGGGCCTGCAGCGCTCACAGCATCATCATCATCATCATCATCATCAGGAGGACTGGACTCTTTAATTATTGTCCGGTGAGACGGAGAAAAGTTCTTCACTTCAGTTCAAGCGCAGCAGAAGAAAGCGACGAGGTGTGGATGCTGTCGGTGGTTTTACAGCGCTGCTGTCTGCTACATGCTGCCATTATTATCACAGCACAGCAGACACATCTCACTCTACTTCATGTTCATCCAATGCTCCAAGTCAGACACCGAAACAAGGCAATAAACACGATACACGTCTGCAGACTGTTTCTCAAGATCTATGGTGATTTTATTGTGTCTCTGCAGTTTTGATGCGTTATACAGGCCTTCAAACATCTCACTGTCAAAGAAGCAAAGTGTGACTGTTGAACCTGTTCAACTGCTCATTATCACAAATATCTAACTCATGTCAAAGTTCAAACTGAGCGTCAGTATCGTGGCCAACAGTAACTCAAATAACACTCATAATAACCACGGTGTGCACGGAGCTTCAAACCGAGCTGCAGACGGCGACAGCAGCAGAGGCACGAGGTGCTGATCTGAGACCAGAGCTCACAGAGCTGCACGAGAACAGAAACATTTCATTCTGAGACCAGCAGTGTTCGTCAAGTTACTTGAAAAAAGTAATTAGTTACTAATTACTGATTACATCTCCAAAAAGTAATCCTGTTACATTGCTGATTACTTATTTTCAAAAGTAATTAGTTACTAATCACTGATTACATCTCCAAAAA